AAGAGAGAGATCTTGGAGTTGTAGTAGATAACTCACTGAAAATGTCGAGACAGTGTGTGACTGCAATAAAAAAGGCCAATGCTATGCTGGGGGATTATTAGGAAGGGTATTGAAAACAGATCAGCCAATATCATAATGCCTCTATAGAAATCAATGGTGCAATCTCATTTTGAATACTGTGTGCAATTCTGGTCACCACACCTTAAAAAGGATATTATAGCTTTGGAAAAAGTGCCTTCTCCCAGATTAGAGTCCGCACACTTAACCACTACACCAGACTGGCTCTCCACACCTTAAAAAGGATATTATAGCTTTGGAAAAAGTGCAGAAAAGGGCAACTCGAATGATAAAAGGGTTGGAACACTTTCCATATGAGGAAAGGTTAAGGCGCTTAGGGCTCTTTAGCTTGGAGAAACGACGACTGAGGGGTGACATGATTGAGGTTTATAAGATTATGCATGGGAAAGAGCAGGTAGAGAAAGAGGTACTTTTCTCCCTTTCTCACAATACAAGAACTCATGGGCACTCCATGAAATTGCTGAGCGGTCGGGTTAGAACCGATAGAAGGAAGTACTTCTTCACCCAAAGAGTGATTAACACTTGGAATTCACTGCCACAGGAAGTGGTGGCGGCTACAAGCATGGACGGCTTCAAAAGGGAATTAGATAAGCATATGGAGCAGAGGTCCATCAGTGGCTATTAGCCACAAGGTATAGATAGGGACTCTGGGGCAAGGGATGCTCTGTCTTCTTGGTGCTTGGGGGGGGCAACAGTGGGAGGGCTTCTAATGTCTGGCCCCACTGGTGGCCCCACTGGTGGTGGCCCCACTGGTGGACCTCCTGATGGCACTGGTATTTCTGGCCACTGTGTGATACAGAGTGTTGGACTGGATGGGCCTTTGGCCTGATCCAACATTGGCATCTCTTATGTTCTGGTCCTCACTGCCCCCTGAAGTAGTTTATAATACAAATTACAGAAGAGATATTACTCCCTAAATCACAGAAAGCCCAACATCTAGCATTAATATCCAGATGGCAGATCCCATTCAGATACATGTTATAAAAGAGACATTTCTACAGGAATGTCTGCTACAGAGAAAGCCCACTTCCACCCACATGTGCTTTCTGCTTGGGACAGAAGTCCTCATAACATAGATACTTAGCTACTGTAGTTGGGAATTTCCATACTCAATACCTTGTCATTGCCTTTATGATAGGGAATGCCCTGTGAATATTGTTTGTTGAAGTCAAATCCATGTTGCACAAGGAACTGAACTGACTGTGGTTCAATGATGTATTCCTCCATACACAGCAGAGTCAGGTTGTAGATCTGGGAGAGGTATGTGTTTTCCAACTGCAACATAAGCCAGCCCAATAAAATTGAAAACTGTATCATAGGAAGAGTGTGAAAAGTCATAGCTCAAGTTATCCGTGAATCCTGTCCTTATTGTTTTAGAACCAGTCCCGGTAGCTCAGTACACCATTTCTGCAATCACTTTACATTAAAAATTCCTTGTAACATTAATCTCGAGAGGAGAGGGAAGAGATTGGATTTATACCCCACCGTTCACTACCCAAAGGAGTCTCAGAGTGGCTTACAATCTGTTTCCCTTCTCTTCCCCACAACAGACACCCTGTAAGGTAGGTGGGAGTGAGAGAGCTCTCCTTGAGAGAACAGCTCTGAAAGAACTTTTGACTGACCCAAAGTCACACCAGCAGCTGCATGTGGAGGAGTGGGGAATCAAACCCAGTTCTCCCAGATTAGAGTCCACGCTCTTAACTACTACACCAAACTAACCCCTCCAAATCCTTAAAAATGCCTCTCTCTCAGGCTTTAAGAAATAAACCAACAAAATCACCTCACAAAACAGAACTACTTCCTTCCATGACCTGCTAATAGTCTTACCCACAGAAATAAAGACAGTAGGGTGAACACCACAGGATGAGCAGTATACCTTATCAGGGAGCTTCTTGAAACAAGCAATCCCTAGAGATAAGATGGAGCGTGTTCTAGCAGCATTGCATACAGCTTTGTACCGTTCTTCAATGCACCTGTGTAAAAAGACATCCAATATCTTAAAAGGAAACAAGCTCCATCACAAGGAACTATTTAGCCATGGCTTTCTAAGGTTCCCTATTTATGAGATATGTTTCCCTACCCCATTCCATTAAAAACATTCTTCATTATGTGGAAGGTATGAGTCTCTTCCCATATGAGATGCGTACAGCCAAACAAATACTACTTAAAAAGGAAGCAGATAAATTAGCTTGACAGCCAGCAGAGTTACCATTTGCACGACTGTTTGCTCAGAGTGAACAATCCCATCTTAAGCTGCTTTTCTCATGTGGACATTAAACCTAATGAACTGCTCCCAACCAGAAACCTGATAGAAGTATCCTCAAACAAACTTTGGTACTGAGAAAGAGACAAAAACTTGACAATTATAGAAAAGACCCCCTACTTCTGCTTCCAAAAAAGTGATTACCCAGAAGAATTGCAAGAATTTGCTTTATAAAAAAGACAGCAATAGCGTGTTACTTACTGGTTTAACAAACTCTTTCTTGTTCCAAGCCCACTAAGTTCCTATGGATACAAGAAAAGAGCAAGATTTCTAAAGGTGGAAATAGATTCTTAGTTGATGATTACCACCAATCAACCCACACACAGTCCTTTTCATATGACCTCAGAAAAAGCTTGCCTGCAACTATAGTGTGCTAGCTTGAACTGTTTCAACTCTTCACTTATGAAACTCTCTGCCAATTCAGAATGGCCTAGCAGAACACTCCAAATGACTTATTAAGGTTTAATACTTTAGGCTGCATCCAGGTTTTTTGCTGGTGAAAAAGGAAAAGATCCCCTCAGACCAGTCCAAAAAGGCTATGCCGGGGATCACAGGTCCTGAATGTACAAAAGTAACATGGAACAGGAGTTACAGTAGGATGGGAACTCAGTGACATCCTTATTACACACAACTTCACCCTGTCACACACACATCCTTTAGTAACTCATGCTAGACGAGGTACCCACCGTATCAACAGCAATGAAGCTAGAAGTTTTGATTGCCAAGAGTATAGATGGCCAGAGCTCCTTGAAATTATCATTCTGGACATCAATTACTGGCACCTTCAAGGAAGTCATCGTCAAACAGCTGTAAGGATCAAGCAGCAAACAGCAAATGATTTAAAAAATCTTAGGCTAACACTGTTGAAGAAGGCAGTGACCAAAGCCAACATTCCCAACCAGAGGCTGCCACTTACGTACCCTAGCTGAAACAAAAAAGGATATTTCCTTGATCGCAAACCCAAGAGCCTAAAGAACTGCAACTATCAAATAGGACTTTTTTTTCCTGTCACAGTCCACAGAGAGACAACGATAGAAGCAATCAGGATAAAAGCGATCAGCTCCTTAGAAATCCCAACCCCAGGTAGGACCTTGGAAGAAACCAGATTTTTCTCAGACTAGGCCGCTGAAGAAAATTCTTACACCACTTCCGGCTAAAGTACATGTCAGAAGCCGCAGAAATGCTTTTTCTTGCCGCCAGAGGATGTCCACCACGAACCCATCAAAACCTCTCCATCTCCCTTCACTGACTTCCGGCGCATAGCGCAGTATGAGGGTCCTTCTCTGGAAGAGGCGCAGGGGTTGAGCTGTCTCGGTGAGTGCCTGAAGGGTGGGCGGAAAGAGACGTTTTGGAGCTTCGTTTTAAGAACTGTTGCAGATTTTTTAGAGACGTCCGACTTTCTCCCGACATACACAATCAACTGGGATATTTTGACACCCCGTGCCTGTGTAGTTGGGCTTGCAGTTGCTACACAGCCCCATTAGAGGCATGCTTCCTTGGAATAAGTCCCAGTAAACTCAACGGGATTTGCCGCTAATTACGAGCACGTAGGACTGGAGCTTTACAGCGCAATCTTATGTGTGTTTACTCACAACTAAGGTTAATAGGATTGCATCGGAACAGTGCAATCCTGTGTTAGGTTACTCCAGTCTACACCCATTGAAATTCAGGGTCTTAAACTGGCATACCTTTCAGGTGGATAGCCGTGTTGATCTGAAGCAGCAAAAACAAAGTTTGAGCCCAGTGGCAACGGCAACTTTAAGACCAACAAAGTTTTATCCTGGGTATAAGATTCTGTGTGCATGCACACTTCAGAAAGTTTATACCCAGAATAAAATTTTGTTGGTCTAAAAGGTGCCACTGGACTCAAGCTTTGTTCGGGCGTGCCTTTGTACAAGCTTGCGCTGCTAATTTGCTCAGGCGTTAATCGGGACAGAGCCACCCGAAGGAAGCTTTCCTCTCACAAACAGGAAAGTAGAAGACCTTTTCAAAACTATTCTTGCACATGGTGCGGATTGGCTAGAGTTCTGTATGTCCCACTCCCTTACTTACGTCTAAGGTTGAATCCGTCGTTGAGACTTGCTCTGATTGGCTGTGTGCTAGTCAGGGCGGGGAGAGAACATGTGGCGGGCGCTGAAAGAAAGTAACAAAAAGACGCAGGTAGGAGTTTGACCAGTCGTCCATCACCACCACCAGTAAGCTGGCTTTGAGGGCGCTTGTGCTCTCTTGGCACTGTGCAGGTTGCCAAGTACATTTGCAGCAAAATGAAGTGGGGAATGTTTTTTCAATTCTCCCTTCTATTTTTTAAAAAAACTTCCTGCAAGTGGAAAGCTAGTATTGTTGGAGTAGGATCTTTTTGATGTTTACTGCTGGAGTCCCCCCCTCCCCAAATAGCATCCCTACCTGCAAGATGCTGCTACCTTGTTTGTGCTGCATGTGTAGAATAATGAAGGTGGACTGTACTACACATCTATCTTTGTAATGCTCAAAGTCCCCTCTAGACTTGTGTGATTGTGTTAGTGGCAGCCAGTTGTGTTACTAGTTCCTATTTCCATATTACAATCTGTTTTGGAAAAGTATAAGGTATCATACATAGAAAGTTATGTATGTTGCTGGTTTTGTATTTGGAGAGGAAGGAGGGGTGTGAAGATCTGCTCTAACAGTAACATGCTTTCTGCTTTTCCTAGCCTGGCAATGAGTAAAATTCAGTTGGCAGCATGCAGCAAGCAAGGAATACAGCATGGCACTGACAAACCACAGAAATCGCCAAGGAAATTTGAAGAAAGTACCATGCTCTGCAAAGGTGCTTAGGCTGCAAAAATATCTTGTCCAGTACCACAACAAACCATGTTATGTAAAGGGCAGGGAAAGCGGAATCTTTGAGGCCCTGTTTTCATTATGAGTTCATCTTTGGATAGCAGTTCCTGAGTTCACTGTAACTTCTAGTTTGCTTACATATTCAGATAGAGAAATCAGAGGTTGATGTGAACTAAATATATGACAGGGGCTCTTTCCTGGTTAGGTGTTAGTTTATTAAAGTAAAGGTAAAGGTTCCCTTGCTCGAAAGCCAGTCGAGTCCGACTCTAGGGTTGCGGTACTCATCTCTGTTTCAAAGCCAAAGAGCCAGCGCTGTCCGAAGACATTTCCGTGGTCATGTGGCCGGCATGACTAAACGCCAAGGCGCACGGACCGCTGTTACCTTCCCAGCGAAGTGGTACCTATTTATCTACTTGCAATGTCTTGCTTTCGAACTGCTAGGTTGGCAGGAGCTGGAACTAGAGATGGGAGCTCACTCCATCATGCGGCACCCGGGTCTCGAACTGCTGAACTACTGACCTCCCACAGCCTGCAGTTCAGTGTCTTAACCACTTGAGCCACCACAGCTGTCTGTCAATGAGACCTTAAAGAGTCCTGGAGAGGGGAGAATTGGGGGGATGCCTACATTGTCCCCCCCTGCAGTTTCTCAGAGGCCTTCATATCTTTCCGGGTACTCACTCGATAATGCTAATATATTAAACAACCTGGGATGGGGGATGCTTTGGATGCCAAACAGTTCTGTGATCTGCTGTATTCTAAAATTCATCCCTTGCCCTTGAGAGAGATGTATCTAGATGTTGATATCAATGTGCCTTCTTTGGATTCTGCAGTCTAGTTGTACTTTCCCAGATTATAGAGTCAGCCTGGATGCTCTCAATGATTCCAGGAACGGACTTTGTAATAGACAGCAAGTACAGAGCATTATAGTAACCTGCTGCTTAGTTCATGTTGAAGGACATTCATGTGAATCTGCATTTCCCCTTTCTTAATATCTAACACATTCATTAGAACTTTAATAGAGATCTGACTTAAGACCACCACACAAAACCTGAAAATGTATACTTTGTCTCCATTCTTGTAGTACTATGATTGTAGAAATATTCTAGGCATTTATTTGGTGGTATTTTAATTCATAGGGCCACCATAAGTCAGAAGTGATGACACTTAACACACACACATTTTTAAAAATTAAAAATAGAAATGCATATGGACTGTGTAAAGTGAGAACTCTGTTTGCCCAGCACAATAGACTTGCATGGCCACACAGAAAGTTCTAGAAAACTGTACTCAGGGTGTCACATTTTTCCTGCTTTTATCTGTATACTGTCAAGGTGAAAAGAGACATCGCCTAGGGCAGGAGTTCCCAGCCTTGTTGAGACTGTGGGCATTTTTGGAATTTTAAGAGCAGGTAGTAAGCATCACCATAAAATAGCTGCTATGGGTGACTGTGGCCAATCACGTGTTGGGAGGTTCCAAGCCAAGCATCCTTGTATAATGGAAGAAGGTATTTCCAAATGAAGGTTCCTTCCAGACACAATGGTGATGCTTCTTGGGATCTTCAGAAGCACCTCCTCCAGTAAGTTGAAGAAAAGCTAGGATTAGCTGTTTGCTTTAGGAAATGAGCAAGTGGGCACCAGGAAATACACCAGTGAGCATTATGGAGCATGTGGGTGCTTTTTTTTTTACTTCTCTAATTACTCATAAAATTAGCTCCTAAAAATTGTTAACTATGCTCTTACTGTTGCAGGAGTGCCCAGCCAGCAGTCTTCATTTCATACATTCAGCAGTGCAGTTGAAATTGAACTGTTTCGGAAAAGGCTGCTTGCCTGGTACAATAATTGCAAACGGGACCTTCCTTGGAGAAAACTGGTATGGCCTGCTATATGCAGATTCCAAGCCACTTAGAAAAGAGCCTTTTTTGAAAGGTGCAAGCAGTGGCTGTGTTGTTGTGTCCTTTTTCATGAATTCCCCTCTTCATGCTGTTACAGGCCACAATTGAAGCTGATGCTGACAGACGAGCATATGCTGGTGAGAGACAACTTGAAAGAGTTTGGCTAGGAGTTCCTGTCACTGATCTGCTTTTATGCTGCTCTGGAGCTAACTGCACAACCAGTATATAAAAGTGTCCTGCTGGCAGCTTCAGGGGATATGTAGGCAGGCGGTGGGTAATCTGTTTCACTGCAGAGAAAATCACTTTGTGTGTGTTACCAACTAGGCCCGTGTAGAGTTATTGGGGCCCCAGAAAAAGCAAGATGGCAAATCCATCAGGTCACAGCATGTGGGTGGCACCAGTCAAAGGGAAAGAAGAAAACGGCAAGCGGAACTAGTTATCCTCAGCTGCATTGCCCTTCTGCAACTGAGGGATACTGAAATAGGCCACTAGTTTCCTTTCTGTTATTCATGGAGCAGCATTTCCTATTTGCTAGGCAAGACTGAGAAGGTTCTGGAAGAAATCAGAATCCCTAATGCTTACATTTCCCGGTTTGTGTTTGCAGTGTGGGTATCTGAGATCATGCTCCAACAGACTCAAGTGGCTTCTGTGATCAACTACTACAATCGCTGGATGCAGGTGATGCTAAACTACCCTGTGGCACCTTCTCATTTGCATTAGCTTTTGGTTTCTGGAACAGATTCATGCAGGCTGTTTTGTAGATCAGTAAACCTTTTTCTTTGTGATGCAGAAATGGCCAACCTTACAGGATCTAGCTGGAGCTTCACTGGAGGTAAGAAAGAGAATGCAAGATCGTTAACTGTATCTGCACAAACATACATGAGTACACTTGCATGTATTCAAGAAAAATTGATCTTTCCTTCGCCATGTTCTGGTTTCCCCTAACATCTCCTTCTGTTTGGGAGTAGGAAGTGAATGAACTGTGGGCAGGGCTTGGCTACTATTCTCGAGGGAAGCGGCTCCAGGAAGGTGCACATAAGGTACTCTATGGGCATGGATGAGTCATTGTCTGTGTGCATGTGGCTGGTGGTGGTTGGTTTTGGCAAGGAGAATCATTCCCATCCTTTAATGACTGGTGATAAAGGAAGGTTGTTGGCTATAGATAGCCACTTTGGAAGGGACCCAGAGCAGACAATTAGCTCTTGTGACCCATGTCATAGTTTGTCTCACTAGTAGGAGAGTGGAAAATGTTCTTAGATGACAAGATCAGTATCTACAAAGAGCTTACTATTGAGGGCCTGCTCTGAGCAGCTCCCTGAAGGTAAATGCATAGTTTATGGGTGAGATGCGTCCCAGACCTTCAAATATGTGTATTGAATTTGTGTCCCACCTTCCTCCAAAAATTTCAGAGTACTTTAACTGCCCGAGAGTAAGCAGAGTATTTAAGGCTGGGAGAAAATAATTTGGCCATGCAATGAATTTTCATAACCAAGTACAGATGTGGGGAATGCTTTTCCATATCCAGTTCCAGTGCATGAGACACTGCACTGTATTGCCTGTATAGACTCTTCCCCCACCCCTATTACTCTCAGCCGTGGAATCACTTCCTTCTTAAAAGGGCTGGTGTGAGTAATAGGGGTGTATTATAAAACCTGTAAAGGTGGTCCTTCTTACATTGCTGCCGTTGTGGCTTTGGCTTCTGTGGGCACAGCTGTCCACTGTAGTTTGGCATGTAGCACAAGGCCCTCTATTGTTAAGCTGGCCTTTGCACAGCTGGCTTTTTCATAGCAGATTTGCGTGTCACTATTTCACTTCCTTTCTTTGATTTGGATTGTCCCTAATTCTCTGCACTGACTGTTGGATTGGCAGTTGTGTGTTTCCATATAAATTGGAGATGTTCATAATGAAATTGCCAGGTGACTTAAGTCCACTGTGGAGAAAGGTGGGGTATAAATGAGGTGAATAAATGAATTCACTGATCTTTTGCAGATTGTATCAGAGATGGCAGGTCATGTGCCCAGGACAGCAGAGGAGCTGCAGAAGCTGTTGCCAGGAGTAGGGAAGTACACTGCAGGAGCTATTGCATCCATAGCATTTGGCCAGGTGAATAAGGCTGCACTCTGGATAGGCAGCTTTGCCTTAGGGAATTTGCATGAAGCAGATGGTACCTCAGACTGGGCCTGGCTTGCCTTGATTAACCCCAGAACACACAGAGTCCACCATTGGTTGAGAGACATAGACTTCTCATCTCCTGCCCAACTGCTCTTTGCAGCTCATTTCACATTTACATGTGTTGGGGGAGGTCTTTGGAATGCCCTAAACATCATGAATTGAGTTGTAATTTAATTCTCTCGGTAGTCACACTGGAAACGTTCAAAGAGTGGGAAAATACAATGATTTACTACAAGAATGGGACCCGTTGTGTATTGTATTTCTCATACTTGCTTCTGAAAATAACAATGCTCTAGTTTTATGAGCAGAAAGGTCCCTTTGCTCTTACATTGCCCTTCCCTTAGCTAAGTGACACTTGAATATGAACTCTCACAGGGATGATCACTGACTGTTGTTGTTGCTCAATGCTTCCAGGTGACAGGTGTGGTGGATGGAAATGTAATTCGGGTCTTGTGCCGTGTACGAGCCATTGGGGCTGATCCCACCAATTCTGCTGTTACCGATAAAGTCTGGTAAGAAAAGGAATGTGGTTGTAATGGTGCAGGTGGAGCTTTAGGATGCAAGGGTCAAATAAGGAGACAGATTTTTGCCTCTTATTCCTCATCTGAAATCCCAGCTAGAGAATAATGGCAGCTACCTGACAAAATCATACTTGTTTTGGATGGTTCCCAGCCAGCCCTTTACTGTATGCAGATGTTTTTTAATCGGTCTTCCTTGCTAGTAGTTTAGGCAGAGGTTCCTGAGTCTGGATTAGCCATACCCACCACTAGCATGGAACAAGGGGGCTCGATCCTTGAAATCAAAAGGCCATAATTTCTGTTACTGAAAAAGGTGGTGTACTGTAGGACTAGGAAAAGGAGAATTTGGGGCAAGGGATGCAAGCTGCCAGAATTTTTAGCAGGGGCTTAGGTGGGATTTTGTTGTATTTTGTTTTGCATTGTTAAATTTGAGTTTGTAAACTGCCTTGAGCCATCAAAAAAGGTGGGGTATAAATATTTAAATAAATAAATTCCACTACCAGCCAAGTATGCTCAGGACTAGGGTGAGAATAGCTCCTGGGAAAGGGTAGGGGCTGTAGAAGGGAGACACTGAGCAAAGCTTACAAATAAATATGTGGGTGCCCCTCCAAACCCCTCTAAGAGGAGTATCACGACCTTCCACACTTCCCTCCCTCTGAGACAAGATTCTCCCTGTTTTTCTCTCCCTTTCTCACTGAGCAGCCCTTTGAATCTATTTTCTTCCTTTCTGAAGAACAGTTGCTGTCCCACCCTGTCACAATATGATATTTCGCTGCTGGCACAGCCCTGGAACCTGAGGGAAGGGTTGAGATCCCCCTTAACCACTGAAATGGCACTCAAAGACTTTTAAAGTTCAAAAATAATAAAATATTTTATTCAGTGTAAAGGTCAGGTGAAATCAAGGGTAATGTTTCTGAAGTAAATCAATATAGACCTCTGAAGTAATTCAGTACAGGCATAGACTACAGTTCATATGTTTCAAGCAACTGAGAGATGCTTTTCACAGTGACTTAGAATCTTTAAAATGAGAGGCTTTTGTTTCAGTGTTTTCTAAACATTCCAGTACACTTTCTTGAGTGTATGTGGTTCTTTTGGTTTCCAGGATACTCTGTCCAGTACCCAAACACCTTCACTAAACACACCAGTGCTCTTCTTGAGTTTTAATTGACTTCTCAGGATTTAAAAGGCAGTTTCTAAACACACCAGACCAGGGATCTCTCCATTCTTCAGAGCTATCTGCCTGTTTTAACTGGGTAGGGAAATTCTTTTCTCACTGGAAGATCTATCCCCTTTTCTTGCCTGAATGGGAGTCTGCACCTAACTACTCACTCCTCTTGCTAACCTTCCCAGTACTCCATCAGTGTTAAACTGCTCTCAGTTAGGGCTAAGCACAAACCCTGTCAGTACTAAACTCTTCTCCGTCAGGGCTAGACTCAGATTGAATTCTCCTCAGTTTTCAGTTCAGAAGTCTTTCTATGATCAACTGATGCTAACCAATCAGATCTCTTGGAGCAGCCTGTCACTCAAGGCTCTCAGGCTCTGTGAAGAATTAACCCTTCACAGTCCTTTACCTGTTTACACAACACTTATAAGACTTTAAAGTGCAGTCCATCACAGTGAGTTTTTAGAAGACACTGTTCATATTGTTTAGGACAAGAAATGGTCTCGTTAAGGAAAAAAACAGAAATAATTGTCAAGCTTCTTTCAGGGTCATCAGATTCTGTGTTAGATAATATTAGAGAACCAAGTCTACCTTTTTAAGCAATACTTCCCTACTGCAAGCTGCAAGGACAGCTCTATGCAAAACCTTTACTTCATTTCCTCGGTCCCTTATTTTACACAGAATTATTTGGATGCAATTCTCTGCATCCTTCCCCATGACTGTGGTTGTAGACAGAGAAGGCTCAAGATCTCTTTCACCTGGCTGCCTTGGGCTTCCCTGTTGTGCTTGCCAATGTAGGTTGCTGTTCATCTTAGGGCTTTATCACACGCGCTGGTGGATCCAGCCCATCCAGGGGACTTTAACCAAGCTATGATGGAACTGGGGGCAATGGTGTGCACTCCCAGGGCCCCATTGTGCATGAAGTGTCCAGTGAGGCAGCACTGCAGAGCTCACCACAGGGTAAGTGGGCACCTTTCTCTCTTTTCCCTATACCAGGATCGGTTGTTTTGTTGTGGAGTCCGACTAATGTCTGCCAGGAAGGAATTTGTTCTATGCGCAATTTGGCCCAGATACCGTGTATTGTAAACTTAAAAAACATTTTTCCTAAATATGTGTATGCCCACACAGTGATGGGGGGGAAGGCACCCACAGTTACTCCAGTCTAAGTACCTTGAAATCCATGCATATAGTCTGGAGTAACTCCTACATAGCATTGCACTGTGAATCTAATAAAAAATCCTAAAGAATTACTTTTCTTCTCCATTTTGTCTTTATTAGACACTAAAACACAGGTTCCTTCTATATTACCATACCAAATCAATAATTTTTCTTAGCATTGGGTATGTATAATATATTTCTCAGTTTTGTTCTAACTTGAGTTGGTTTAGATCATGAAATTGTGATTAATGTTAAAATATGCTGGGGTCATGAGAGTTCTGGAGGAAGCCTGAAGAACCAACTTAGTTTAGTGGTTAGAATGCCAGCTTAGGATCTGGAAGAACCAGGTTCAAGTCCCTGCTCTGCCACAAAGCTCACTAAGAGTCTCTCTCTCTCTGCCTCTCTCTCTTTGCCTAACCTACCTCACAAGGTTGTGAGCTTAAATGGAGGAAAGCAGAAATGATGTACCCCACCCTGAGCTCATTGAAGGAAGGGCAGACTAATAATGTAGCAAATTAATAGACACACACCTCTGGGCAGTCACAGACTGACACCTTCTCTTCTGCAGGTAGAGAAGGAGCTGGAAGACTCTGCCAAGAGACTGACAGGAAGATCTGCCTCCAAGAGTTCCTGGGTGCTGGATGTAGAAGAATGTGGTAAGTGCTGAGGTTTGGCCCTTCAGGAGGGCTTTTTTGGAATATAGGGTTGCATTCTTTCAAAGTTTTTTCAAGGTGGGGAAAAACCCCAACAGCTCACCACTCCAAACACACTTCTTATGTTCTTTTCCCTTACACCCACTGCCCTTTCTTTATTCAGCATACTTGATTTATAGGAAGGGGAAGAACCACACCTGTAACCAACAAACCCAGATCCTTCTGATAAAGTGATCCTTCTGTTCAGATGACCCCGCTAACTATAGGCCAATCTTCTGTTTCTAGTATAAAATAGATTATGTAATGGCCTCCAAGCTCCAGGAATCCTGCATGCGTAAATCTCACTTGACTGGATTGAATGTACATTTCAACCTGATCTTGGAGCCAAGAACCCCTCGATGGCCCTTCTGGACTACCAGCATTTGGAAATGGAGAAGAGATTTTCCTAGACTTCTCAGCAGCATGCAGTGCTATGAGCTGCCAGATTCTCCTAGGGTGGATTAACAAAACTGTAGGTGTAGGAGAGATGGCTTTGATCTGGCTCTAATTTGGTTTTTGCCATTCATTCTCAAACTTTTTTGTGTTTTCCTTTCATTCAAAAAGGGTGGGCTGGGGGGGGGGGGGGGAACTGCCATTCATTGGGAACAACTCTTTGCTATTCCACCACAGTCAATATTAGCACTGAACAGTTTGGTGTGGTGTTTGGATGAGAGAGTCTGCAACTGTAAAATGAGGTGCCATCAATATACTGATTTATTTATTTCACTTCTACCCCGCCCTCCCCGCCAGGCGGGCTCAGGGCAGCTTCCAAAAACTGATAAGCAGTATACATTTTACAGTAATAGCATAAAATACATCATTTAAAAACATAGACAGGTCAATATAAAACATTCATTCGATGGTGATAGATAAAAATAAATTGCAGTTTAGGGACACATTCAGCGGTGCCATCGCACTAGGTCGTGTTGGATCGGAGTTCACACAGGGCACTGCTGGTAGGATGCCACTCCTAGCGGAACGCCTGCCTAAAAAGTTCTGTTTTCACGGCCCTGCGGAACTGTGACAAGTCCCACAGGGCCCTGATCTCGGCAGGAAGCTCGTTCCAATAGGACGGAGCTACAAACGAGAAAGCCCTAGTCCTGGTTGCCATCAACCTGACTTCCTTTGGGCCAGGGAGGTCCAGGCGGTTTTGGGATCCTGATCGCAGTGCTCTCTGGGGAACATACAGGAAAGGCAGTCCCTCAGGTAGGCCAGTCCCTGACCATAAAGGGCTTTAAAGGTCAAAACCAGAACCTTGAAACGAATCCGGAATGCTATTGGGAGCCAGTGCAGAGTCTTAAGCACAGGCTGGATGTGCTCCCACCTGGGGAGACTTATCAACAGCCTGGCCGCCGCATTCTGCACCAGCTGCAGCTTCCGGAGTTGCACCAAGGGCAGCCCCATGTAGAGAGCACTGCAGTAGTCCAACCTCGAGGTGACCATAGCATGGATCACTGCAGCCAGATCATTGCGTTTGAGGAAGGGAACCAACTGCCTAATCAGCCGAAGATGGTAAAAGGCTGCCTTGGCAGCAGCTGCTGCCTGGGCCTCCATTGTTAAAGAAGCATCCAGGAGTACTCCCAAACTCCTGCCCCTCGGAGCTGGCACCAGTGGCACCCCACCAAAGGCTGGGAGTGGGATCCCTACCCCCGTACCGCTCCGATTCAGGCACAGGACCTCTGTCTTCGTCGGGTTCAGTTTCAATCGACTCAATCTAAGCCATCCAGCCACATCCTGCAACGCCCGGTCCAGATCTTCCGGGGTAGAGTCAGACTGACCGCCCAACATCAGATAGAGCTAGGTGTCATCCGCATATTGGTGACAGACCAGCCCATGCCTCCGGGCAATCTGGGCAAGGGGGCGCATATAGATGTTAAGTAACATCGGGGAGAGCACAGCCCCTTGGGGCACACTAGTGGGTGCTTTTGGGACCGCTGCTCCCCAATGGCCACCCTTTGTCCCCGACCTTGGAGAAAGGAGACAAGCCATTGCAAGGCGGATCATCACTTCCTTGAGTGCCCCCAGGAACCGCCCCTCAGAGAGGGACTTGTTGATAATCTCCCTTAGGGCACCTTGAAACCCCTCATGGCCCGCTTTAATGAGCCAGGAAGGGCACGGATCAAGGCTGCATGTGGTTGGGCATACAGCTGCGAGCAATCTGTCGACTTCCTCCAGGCTGAGTGGGCTGAAATAATCCAAAGCCGGAATGGAAGACGCGCAAGGGGCCTCAAGTTCACTCACTGCTTCAACTGTGGCGGGGAGGTCGCGGCGGAGCACCAAGACTTTATCCGCGAAATAGCTCGCAAATGCCTCACAGCCAATATCCAATTCCCTAGCTTTTAGTCTGCCCTATGGCAGAGCTGTTATAAGCTGAATTGTTCTAAACAATTGGGCTGGGCGTAAGCTCTCAGACGCAATCGTAGCCGCATAGAACTCTCTCTAAGCAGCTTTGACTGCCATCTCATATGATCTCATAAACATCCTATAAGATGCTCTTGTAGCTTTGTCTTGAGCACGGCGCCACCATCTCTCTAACTGTCTCAGCTCTCGCTTCATAAGCCGCAGCTCCTGGGTAAACCAGGGAGCAAGCCTAGAGCGAGGGCGCAGAGGGTGTTGGGGAGCAATCTCATTGATGGCTGCAGAGAGCCAACTGTGCCAGTCGTCTACAAGCTCATCCAACGAGCCACCAGGGGGCATCAGATCCCGCAGGGCCATCTGGAGCCGCACTGGGTCCATTTGGCTCCGTGGGCAAGCTAAAATTCGCTTGCTGCCTAAACAGGATTGGGGTGCAACATTCAGACGGGCCCTCAGGGCATTGTACTGCCAAAGCAGTAATCCAGTCCACTGTTACCCCCACCATGAAGATCAAATCAAGCGTGTGCCCAGCTCGGTGAGTGGGGGTCGTTATAAATCGGGAGAGTCCCAGTGCTGCCATGGACGACACTAGGTGCGCTGCCTGAATGGAAGCCACGTCATTGGCATGGACATTGAAGTCACCCAGGACTATTAGCCTAGGGTGTTCCAGCGCCCAGCCTGATATGGCCTCCATCAGGGACGGCAGGCTGTTGGCCGGTGTGTTAGGTGGTTGGTACACCAGCCAAATCGCCACACTCTCCCTGGCCTCCCACACCAGGCCGACACACTCAATGCCCATGATCTCCAACGATGGGAGCGCCCTGAAGGAGTAAACCTCCCGAATGAAAATAGCCACTCCTCCCCCCTGCCCCCTAGTCCATGATTGGTGTAGGACCGAGAACCCAGGAGGGGCAAGCTGGGAGAGAGCTACGGTTTCCCAGTCGTACACCTAGGTATCAGTCACACACGCCTAGTCTACCTTCTGTTCCCGAAGGACCATGGCCTTATTATTTATAGACCTGGCGTTGCACACAGCACCAATGTCGGAGGGGGGGTCAGGCACCATGGGCTAGGCAGTGTCAGATGAATTCTGGTTTGTATTGCCAAACTTTCCTGGCTTAAACTCCTCTGCTACTATAGAGTAGGTCTGAAATCACTGGGTTTTTGCTAAGACTCCAGAACCAAGCATCTTACCTGCTCCATTCTTCTGATCTGCAGCCAACCTCACAGGAAGTTGCTCCCTTTGCCTGCCTCCTTCAGAGCTGTGGGACCGTAGTCTTGGTGTGACCAACTTCCCCAGGAAAGCTTCCAAGAAACAGCCCAGGATAGAGAGAACGGCTACATGTGTGCTACAGAGGAAATGCCATGAAGACAAGCCAGAGTACCTTATTGTACAGAGACCCAGCACAGGTAACTAGCTCATAAGTGGGCAGGGAATGAGAAAGAATAAGTCTGAAGTCACTTTTACAATCTTCGTTCCCCATACTCTTAAGGCAAACTTGGATGTTGTCTTATCTTTTATCAAACCACAGTATATCCTTTTGGGTCAGAAACTGCATTGCAAAGAAGGGTTGCTTGTATGGGGGCAATTGACTTTGCCAGCAAAGGCCATTGAACCATTTGATTTGGCTGAGGCAGCCACTTGTAAGTTGAAGCACAGTGGTGATTTTGAGCAAGAGCTTGAAGAACTTGGATGTCTGTATGTCAGAGCTGGGTCCTGTCCATCCTAAGTTAATATACCCTGTGGGATAGGCAACCTGATCTTTCTGAGACAGCAATTGCAAAGTTCATGTTGCAGCTAAAATGAAAGGAAGCAAACTGAATTATTTAAGGCACGGTCTGTTTCTCCTGCACTAGCCAGCAGAGAGCACTCAGCCCTGATGCAAACGCCAGCCTTGGGAGCAGCACTGTTACTATGGAAGCATTGTTTTCTGAATATCTTGTCTGCCTGATAAGGGGAAAGCTGTGTTTCAGTAGAACAATAAATACTTCACTGTTTATGTATTGCTTTCCTTAAGTGCCAAAAGTTATTCTACCATACCTTATCGCAAGAATTTTTACAGTAGTCTTTATTTTAGCCAAAGTTAAGAGCAGGTAGTTTTATTTGAGGGCACTGTTCATACCAAGGCTGAGATTGAACCAGAGATTTCCAGACCAAGCCTTTAAAAGCGATGTTGTATCAGTTTGTGCTGATGATGGAGCTGTGCCTTTTCTCACAGGTCTGCTGGCAGGGCTGTGGGAGTTTCCTAGCCTCCTCCTTGGCCCAGGGCAGGAGAAGCAGCAAAAAGCAACAGTGGCCAATCACCTTCGCGCATGGGTTGGCAGTGAAGTGGCTGTGGGACGCTTGCAGCATGTTGGAGAGGTAAATCAGACCCTACACAAGACTTGTGCTAAGTATTTTGGGCATTGTCAATAGTGTTGACTGGCCATTGTTTAACCACATCTCACAACAAACCCTCCTCTTCCCACCCCTGTAGTACATAGTATTTACAACCCACCAGTGGCAGGGGGCAGGTAGCAGCAGAGGCTCTGTTGCCAGTTAGCCTCTTAGCAAGGTATCAGGACATGTGCAGTGTATGAGCTGTTTTTATAATACCTGTGGAAAGAACAGTTGCTTTATAACTGACTGGTGGATAGTTGCAGGTGGCTTTATTCAGTAAGGAAATTTGTTCCCTAAACACTGTATGAATCAGAACCTAAAAGGAACAGATTAAAAAGATCTTGTCATAGTACAGAGGGGTCAGGTAAGATAAGTCTTGAGGTTCCAGCCATTCACCTCTGAGATTATCCTTACCTTGCCATAGGCCTTGGGGGTCATATGATACCATCTCCTTATGTCCTTATCTGAAAGCAGTGGTGACTGACAGTTAAGGAGAAGCCCAGCGGTTCCTTTCTATTCAAACCCTGACTGTTCAGCCTCTGAAGGTCTGCCTGCCTGCCAAGAGATGAAGAAGGCGCTATTGAGCCATGGATCTTTTTCCTTCCCTGCCCTCACATGCAAATCTTGCTGTCATCTGTAGGTTCTTCATATGTTCTCCCACATTCGCCAAACATACACAATCTACTTTTTGAACCTGGACAAGTATGAAGGAAATTGCAAAATGGAAGCCACATTGCCACCATGCAAATGGGTGACCAAAGTGAAATTCCAGAATTCAGCTGTTTCCACTGCCATGAAGAAGGTACTGAGAATCTAGGCATCAGCTACTTCACATTTCCCACTAGATCCAAGTTCTTTTCTCCAGAGTACTAAAAATGTAGCAACAACAAGAAATGTTAGCCACTGAAAACTGAAAAGGAACAACTGTTCACTACTACCAGGAGTGTGGTAGTACCTGGCTAAATGACAAGAGATACCCTCTTCCAGGAACTCTGTTTTCTCTATCTCACTGTCTTTGTGCCTCAAGCAAGCTGTCTGGGGGCATTTGATACAGCTAAGTTTCTATGAAAGCTGCCAATAGCCTACTCCCAGGATGGAGGAACTAGTATCCAACTATCTACTTAACTATGGTGCTAGAGATGCTTTGCATGTCATGTGAGGTGTCTTGCTTTTTTCAGGTCTTGAAAGCCTATGAAAAATGGAGCTCTGCAGTCAGTGTTTCCAAGGTGGGTTTCATTATTTTCTCTCACCTGCAGATTTATTAATATTCCTAGCGTCTTGTCCCCCTCCTACTGAACTTCCACACTGGTCCTGTGATCAGAAGCAGTCAGCTTGTGGTTTGTCCATTACAGTTCCTTCTAGCTAAACTGAATAGTTTCCAGTTGTTTGACTCTGCTTAGTAAAGGTTGCCTAGAAATCCTAGGCCAGTAAGCAGGGGGGGATGGCAGGTAGAGAGCTGCAGGCTTCCCCCCCTCCCCCTGTATTTAAACATGTGCACATTAACAGGTTGCCAAGAGGAAACGGGACTCTCTGTGTGCCAGCAAGCCAGTACTTGAAGCAGAGAGCAGCTCTTCCAAGAAGCAACTTTCTCTGGATTCTTTTCTTGCATCTCACCCAAAGAGCTGACTATACTGTCTGTAACCTTCCTGAACTAACACATGCAGGGATACACCTCTCTTCAATCCAAGCAATAATAAACAGTACTTAGGAGCACCACTGGTGGCTCCCTCAGATGCCTGTAATTAGAATCTCAGGTTTTAGAACTCTCCTGGCAGTGCATGGTGGGGGTGGTGTCAAACAGTATGAGCAAAGCTTAGTGGTGTGGGGGTTTCCTCCCCACCCATCTTTTGAGTGTCTCAGCCTATAACCTGGATGATAAAAAGAGATAGCCCTGGATTTTCAGCAAACTTGTAGATGTCTTGAAGGGAAATGGCTGTGATCAGAGGGGAGAACGCTGAGGATTTAACAATCTGCTCTGTTTACGTACACCATACAAGTAACTGTGGATGCTCCAAAGAAGAAGGTAGGGATTTCTTGGCGTCACTGTGGTATGTAACAAAATTGAAGTGCATGGGGGTAGATTAACCATGCTGGGTGAGACAACTCCCCTTCTCCAGTGTCTGCAGAGCAAAACAGTTCAACAAGAGATATCTTATGCATCCAATATTGTTTTCTTAGCGCAATTGCTTCCCATAGGCAAATAACTGTATACAATTATGACAAAAACCAGTCACACACCACCATATCTTACTGTGATTCTTGTTGGAGTTCCATGAGTCAGCTGTTTTTAGAGTTTGCAATATCCTGCTTTTATTTCCAGTTTTACTAATAAACTTTTCATTATTTTCTACAGAGATTGTACCAGTGTCAGTTATTTAGTTGTACCTGCCTCCATAAAAGTGATTTGGTTTATCAGCACAGCCAGGTTTGGTAAAGTAATTTTTATCTCCCTTGAACCTTAAACCGAGGCCCAGCATGTTGGTGCCCCTTTTGCCATTCCATTGGCTAGCAACTGGAACGCCTAATACAATCTGCGCCAAAGAACTTGTTACAACAGATTCATATCTGGAAACAGAGGCTGTTGTTCACAGAAACTCCCCAGCTTTGCAGAAAAATCGGAAGAAAAAATACACCAGGGGGGTGTTACATCCCCTGAAAAATAGAGTTCTCTGTGCTTGCCTCAGGCAGTCAGTGGCTGTGCAGCCAGGGATCCACGCCAGGCCCAGTGGTGGCGGCCACATAGCCTGGGAGTTGCGCTGGGCCCAGCAGTGATCACACACCCCAGGAGATATGCTAGGCATGGCACTGGTGGCGCAGGCTGAGAGCTGCACTGGGCATGCTGCCACTGAAGCCCAGGAGCTCCACTGGGCATGCTGTTGTCATTGGCGCAGCCCAGCAACTGGGCTGGGCCCCAGCAGTGGCAGTGCAGCCCAGGGAGAGCCCAAGGGCCACGCCAGGTCTGGCAGCAGCTGCCAAACAGCCCTGGGTTCCATGCTGGATCCAGCTGCAGCTGCTGGAGAGCCTGGGGGCCACGCTGAGCTCAGCAAGAGTGTGTGGGGGGAGATGGGATTCCCTCCTGCGAATTTGCGGGCCCTCAGTTGTACTTTCTACAGCACTATCAGTGGCTCTGATACAGATGCAACCTTCTATGATCCAGATAACCTTGATCAGAACCTCTATACATATTATTGATGTGGTACAAGAACTAACCACAGAGAGGCAGGTTTGTAGCAGCACTCATATCACAAAGATGGTTGGCCCAACAATGAGGTCCAGTAATTGCATAATATAATGTTCATTCTTGTAGCTGCCTGAATAGCCCAGACTAGTCTGAGCTTGCCAAAGCTTGGAAGCGGAACAGGATTGACAATGGTTAGCACTTGAATGGGGGACCACTAAAGAAAACCAAGGTTGCTGTGCAGAGGAAGGCAATGGCAAATCACTTCTGCCCAATGAGGGGGGTTGCCATAAGTTGCTTGTGACTTGACAGCACTTCATTATTATTAATGTTCATTCTTAAGAGGAAATTGAAGTCAGTCTCTATTGCTTGTCCATGTAGTTCTGCACTGCTTTCCAGAGAGCACGGATGTTTCTCTCACCGAAACCTACAGCCCCACATCGTTCTATGAGCTCTAGGAAGAATGTGTCCTCTGCAAAGAGAGGTTTAGTGAATATCTGCATCAGGTATTGTTTACCATGAAGGCCAGGACTGATGTTGCTTCCTTCCCCAGCTACCTCGGAATCCAGGAGGATGCCGTAGTGTTCCAGAAGATGAGGATCCTGCCCAACTTGCTGTATCTCTTTCTCCCTCCCTTTCTCACTGTAGTAGGTTAAGGGTGGTTCTACAAAGTTTGCACCAGCCTTTGCCATGGCGGCAGCAGTTCTTACGATATCAGTGGTGTAGAGTGCCACATGTTGGATGCCAGCCCCTCCATGCTGCTCTAAGAAAGTATCTACCTGGTTCTTCCTTTGCTGTGGCAACGACTCAGCAAGAACAAGCTTACAGTCACGGTCTAGCTGAGTCAAGCCACTCCCATTGCAATGCATGGCAGTAAGACGAAGGCCCATGCCAGCTCCCTGGATACTGTAACCTTCAGCAGCAGCATCTTGGTGGTGGACAGAGAAGCGCTGGAAACCAAAACAGTTCTTGTACCAGTCCAGTACTGCTAGAGAACTACCTGGGAGACAAGCATAGGTGATGTGGTCAAAATGTGTGACCTCCCTAGCTTCACTAAAGTTTTCCGAGGCACTCTTTACACCATGAAAGCCAGGCAGGAAAGGTCCACAATACCGTGATCGGTCAAGCAGAGTGTGACTGATGTTACCCACAATGGATCTCACCACTGCATAAGTGACACAACCACCCTCATCTGCTACATTAGTAGGAGGGATAAGGATCTGGCAACCTTGTTCCTGAAGGCTCTGGGAGATGCCAGGTACATTCTCTATCTCAAAACAAATGTTAGAAGCTGTGCTGACTACATACTGCAGATCCACGTCATACAGGATTCCTTGATCTTTGCAGGGACCAGAGGAGAAAATAAGTGGAACTTCTCTCGCTGCCTTCAGCCTCTCATTGACAACAAAGACGGCAGCGCCTCTTCTTAAGGCCAACTGCTTGCTCCATGCTGTCACCCGTGCAGCAAAGAGTTCAAAGCCAAACTTTTGTACCAGGTTCTTGGCCAGCTGCTGTTTCTCAGGAGCATGGAAACCAATGTAGCACAACTGCTTCACAGACATAACGCAGTTGGAAAAGGCAGTGGGCTGAAACACAGGCTTTCTGTGAGATCTACAGAAAAATAAAGCAAACTCAGTGGTTAGACAGCAGGGTCAGATAGCTAGGAGAAGTGTCCCAGCTTTCATAGGACAGGAGGAGAAAGGAAAAACTCTAGCGCCTCCTCTTCTCGTTCCATGTTATCAAAAAGCCAAAGGAATCTAGAGCTGGTCGAGGAGAGTGGAGCAGTTGGCCAATTAAAATATTCACCTACATAATCCAGCACTTCGGTTGTATGGCACAGGATCAAGCCAACTGCTGCTGGATTTTTAGACATAAGCAGCCATCAATAAAAGGGAACTTGTAGGTCTGCACTTCCTGAGCTAAAAGACACTTTGTAGTCTTTGTTTTACCATTCCTCTCAACTGTCTTATACATATGTCAGAAACTGAAGAGCAATTATCACTATCTCAAAGCCAGCAAAAGATTCAGCCAGTCCTAATTAATATCTTTAATCAATCAAAATGCAAAAATGGCCATTCTTGACCACCTAACAAAAATGATTGAATCTGGACCCAATTTTTGTAGAACTTGCAATGTGCTACATTCCACTTTACAAGCCTACATCTCAGTTAATGGCTTTCCCCCCTATATTTTCAGAATAATTAGGGCACAAAGAAAAGACTCCTGTATTACTTGCACTTATGTATTGCTAATATTATCAGCCAAAATAACATAAATGCAATTACTGGATAACACCAGCATAAACTAGGACAGTATGCAGATGATACAGTTCTATTTCTAGTCCTCTGATTTTACAAGCATTTATTTATTAATAGCCTTTGGTTTCCAAATCAACACTAGTAAGATGACCCTCAAGATACACCTATCCCTGGTTACACTGGAACATCTGCAGTAACATATACTATTTAAGTGGGTTACAGAATTGTTAAAATAGAGAGAGAAATACTACTGAAACTATCACAACTGCTTCAAAAAATATGATTTATATGGACACCTTTCAGCTTGTGGACCCCAAGGATACAGGTAAGAACCTTGGACAGGTGAGACCTACCCATTGTGTTGTTGACCCTTGCCCTTCCTGGCTGATAACAGCTGCCAGAGGGGGAACTGGCTGAGTGGGTAAGGGGAGTGGTAAATGCTTTCTTAAGAGTGGGAGTTGAGCCACCCATGCTCAAGGAGGCAGTCATCAGATCTGTTTTGTTGGGGTGGGGGGGTTTGGGGGGGTGTCCCTGAGCCCTACAACATTAGAAAATTTTCAGCCAGGCTCTGATTTTCCATTCTTGAGCAAAGTGCTAGAGCAGATTGTTGCTTCTCAGCTCCAGAAGAAACTCATTTTCTGGACCCTTTTCAATTTGGCTTCAGGTCAGAATTGACAGCAGAGCCTGCTTTGGTCACCTCTATCGAGAACTACACAGGGGGAATGTGACCCTGCTAGTTCTGCTGGATTTCTTAGCAACCTTTGATACTATTGACCATAGTAGCCTACTAGGCCACCTCTCAACACTGGGACTAAAGGGCACTATATTACAGTGGTTCACGTCCTATCTGGGGGGGCTGGTCTCAGAAGGTAGTGTTGGGGGATTCCTGCTCTGCCTCATGGCAGAGTGCTGCAGGGTTCCATCTTATGCTATTTAATATCTATATGAAGCCACTGGGAGAGGTCATCAGGAGGCATGGGCTGTGATGTCGCCAATATGAGGATGATACCCAGCTCTACCTTTCCTTTCCACCTAATTCCAAGGATGCTGTTGATGTTCTGATGTTCTGAACCAGTGCTTTGAGTCAGTAATGGGCTGGATGAGGGTGAATAAGATGAAACTTAATTCTGACAAGACAGAGGTTCTCTGAGTTAGTAGAAATGCAGACCAGGGATTTAAGATCTCCCCTGTCTTGGATGGGATTATATTCCCCTTGAAAAGCCAGATTCATAGTTTGGGAATGCTGCTTGACACAGCGGTGACCTTTCAAGACCAGGCAGCTGCTGTGGCTCAAAGTACTTTTGCCCAGCTCCATCTGGTGCATCAGCTGCATCCATTCCTGGATTAGTCAGATCTAGCCACAGTGATCCATGCCTTAGTTACATCTAGATTGAACTGTTGCAATGTACTCTACTTCTGTCCTTCTAGTGTTTCGTCTCAATTTGTTCGCTCTGAGCTATTAAACCACAGCAGCCAGGCAGCAATTTAGGGCCTGTACTGTATCCCCAGGATATTTGGATAAGGATATATATATATAGCTGTGTATCATCTGCATATTGATGACAGCCAACCCCAAAACTACAAATAATTTGGCCTAAGGGCTTTACATAAAGAGTGAAGAGTGTGGGGGATAGGATTGCACTCTGTGGGACCTCACAGGATGGGTTCCATACTGACAATAACTGGTCTCCCATGGCAATTCTTTGGGTCCAGTCCATGAGGAATTATTTGAACCAGTTCAACACACAACCCCTGATGTCTGCTTCTGCCTCCAGGTGCCTCAACAAAATGACATGGTCCACTGTATCAAAGGGAGCAGATAAATCCAATAGGAGTAACAAGGAGGTCTGACCTTTATCTACATTT